CTGTTTACACTGTTCCTGTTTTTTCTTGTATTGCTATTAGTGATGTCAGTAATATTGTAATAATTATAATGTCTGCAATACTACTAACAGCATTAATACTGATAGCAATAGTAAAACTTAGGAAAGGTGAAATCAAGTAAAGTCATGAGTTCTTTTAATTGACTCCTTGGTGGTTAAGCACTTGTGAAGCCATCTGTGTGTTGAGACATCTCACAAGAAAATGATACAGTGATCACCACATTTTCTTGGTGGCACTGGGTTAACTCTTATCATTCTCCCTTCTGTTTTCCTGTATCTGTTTCGTCGCCTGCACTTTTAACTGATATTCTTTCACGCTTTCTCTTCCATCCACTCTCTGTTGCCTCAGTAATTTATGGCTCCTGTGCAGTAAAATGAAATGACAATCTGACAATTATATGCATAATATGAATAGATAGATAATTGCAGAGATGATCTAAAAAAAAATCCTGCCTTTTCAGGTTGGAGAATTTCAAGGTCTCTGGCAAGGAGCAGATGCGTTCTGGTGCAGAGTTCCTAGTCCGCGTGTGCCATGCATCCCTGGAACACCTAGAGTGGCAGCAGAAGGAAGCCTTAAAGCACAAGATCACCACGGAAAATGTGACAAGAAAACTTGTAGACCCTTTACATATAGAAGAAAAAAAATGAAGGAAAGAAGAGGACAAAGAAAAAAGAAAAAGCAGATGCTCTATGTATAGAATTCTATTTTAGTTTTTGATAAGTTGAAATTGGCCTGCTAGGGGAATGCTTCTTGGCGGTGAAAATTTATTTTTATCTTTAATGTCTCTGCCCTGAGTTTAAATATAAGGGTATGGCAAGATGTCTTTATGGAATGCCTTATATGAAAATATGTATGTAGGTGAAGTTTTATTTGCTATATAAAGGATACAAAAAAGAAAGAAAAAAAAAAATCTTCTATATCTGTCTCATTACTGAATTCTTGATATATCTTTTTGAACAGTATCGTTTTATCCATATTATCTGTTATGGAATTTCATTTCTTCTTTTTTTCCCCTTATTGGCAATATTTGGAATACAGTTAGAGCTTTGTATAGGAATTTAGGGATATATATGCTATTTCTTAAAAATGTGGTAAATATAGTGTTATCGTATTAACATCACTATAGAATATTATTTCTTTATTTCTTAATGGCTTTTTGTAGCTTTGAAGATACAGTAGGTTAAGATTTCGTAAAAATTATAGTAAAGTCCTAATTTTTTATGGAATGGCATATTATCTTAACAAACAAGATATATTTGTGAATCTGCAAAAAAAAACAAATGTTTTTTTTATTATTGTATGATGAAAGAAATATTTCAGTGAAATACATAATGGTATTAGACTTTGGCTATTTATTCCTTCAAAGAGTGTATTATTAATTTATAGAATTAGAAATGTCTGGTATATGTATGCACTCAGATGTGTCTATTTCTTGGTATATTCCTCTTGTTTGTGCCTGCAAATTTTAACAATTATGGGTGGTATGAAAGTCAAGCAACATTCTAAAAACAAAGTCAACACCATAATCCTACAAGAGGGATCACCAGAACACAAACTGGTCATAATCTTGATTCAGGAGGATATGTTTTTGTGTTCAGAATTTACATTCTAGGGATCAAGTTTTATGGCATCTGATGGTGTTTTAGATTGTTTTAGTACTTTGAGAAAGATAAGAGTCAAGACATGGCAGTGGCAAGGTACTTTTCAAGGGCTTCCCTTTCTTTTTTCTTTCATTTTATCATTTTTTGTACTTGCTACATTCCTCCTCTTCTCATCTTTTTACCCTCTTGCTCTTCCTTTCTTCTTCCATTCCTCTTTCATTTTTTCTTACTCTTCTAATATTCTTCTCCTCCTCCTCCTATTCCTATTCTTCCTATTCTTCCCTTCTACTTTTTCATTGTTTTCCTCTTGTTGTCTTCTTTTTCCAAAGCTCTTAAGATAGACAGATCTGACACCACCCTTCAGACAATATAAGCACATGAAGAGGAATGTGAAAATACTCATTCCTATTTCTTCTTCCTCCTCCACCTTTTCTTCCCTCTCCTCCTGCAACTGCATCACTGCTAACCTGACAGCTTAAGAAACTAAAGGCTATATACCTCAAGGTTTCACCAATCATTAAAAAAAACATTAAAGTAAACAAAATGGCAACATCTCGGTACTTTTTCTTCTGCATCACAAGACTCCGGCACATCAGAAGACAAGACAATTCAACGGTTCTAAGCTCCAACTGATTGGCATAAGGAGGAGCGCCAGGAGAGAAGCCTTTGCAGCTTCACTGGGCAACCCCAGCCAGTAAGGTGCCGCCCCGTCAAGTGGCCGAAAACCTGTACCAAGCAGTCAAAAGAAAAAAAAACGAAAACCAGCTCTTCGTATTGCAAGCTGGAACATGTGCACCATGTGCTCTGGACTCTCCACTGATCTTCAGCCAGTGGATGACTCCCACAAGACCACCATCGACAACAAGGCAAGGAGCTGGCA